AAGAGGCGCGCCTCTGCGCAATTTGGACCCATGCCGCCTTTTTGACTAAGCAATTTTGGCGTTTGCTGAGGCTTACGCCTCAGGTACAGTGAGGCGCGGCTCAATTGTGGTATTGCGCAATTTTGCATGAGGCGTGCGCCTCATTAAATGGTCCCACTCACTTAAGTTTAAAATAAAAAAGTTATTTCCTTCTTCCTTCTACCGGTCCAAGCCGAACCAAACGAAGGTCTCCTGCGGCAGCTATTCCGCACGCACCCGATCCCGGATCTCACACACGTTTCCGCCGCATCTCGTCGGTGAGTCCTTTGTTTCTGGCCAACCCTTTACATCACTTCTTCAAGTGTTCTTAGGGGTTTTTTTTTTAAGTTTAGGGTTTGATTTTTCAACTAATAGGAAAACTAGGATTTTAATTTTTTTGAGTTTTTTTGTTTTATTTTGCATTTGTGCTTTAGGAAATACGGTTAAGGGCAAGGAAAAGTCTAATACGTCATTGCGGAGGGAACCTTCTTAGAAATACAGTGTACAGGTTGACGTAGGTGGCGGTGAGAAGACTTGTGTGTATTTGAAATGCAATTTTTGTAATAAAGTGGTGAAGGGCGGAGTTACCCGCATGAATGAACACTTATCCGGCTCTCATAAAAATGTAGCACCGTGTGCAAATGTGCCGAACAAGGTGAATGATGAAATTATTGCTTACATGAAGAAGAGTAACACGACAAAACATTTACAACCGGAACAATTTGATGAAAGGGTCGAACAAGGTGCTTACTACGGGAACGAGAGTGGAAAGGGCTCTTCCTCCACTATACATAATGGAGGTGTGCGGGGTCCGATGGACTAGTATATGATTAATCCAGGAGAGGATAGAGGACAAGCACAAATGATGCCTACAATTGGTACCAGAGAGGGTCGACATCAGGTTTGTATGGATATTGACAGATTTTTTTTATGAGAATGACATTCCATTTAATGTTGCGAAATCGCCGGCCTACTTCAATATGTTGTGATCTGTAGGGTTGTATGGGAGAGTAGACCTGTCAACATTGGACCCGACCCGAAAATCAGACCCGAACCCGACCCAAAAATTTTGGGTTTGGGTTGACCCGAACCCGAAGCGGGTCGGGTTCGGGTTGACCCGGAAACCCGAGAATAATCCGGGAATGACCCGGAAAATGGCCCTGCCTGAATCTTCCCGACCACAACTCCGCCTACCCGGGCTGCACGCCTGCCCCACACGCGTCGCTCACGTCACGTCACTCGCGACCTCGCGTCGCGTCGCAGTCGCTCGCGTCGCGTCGCAGTCGCTCGCGTCGCATCGCATCATAGTTGCCCGTGTCGCTCGCCTCGCGTCACGTCGCTCGCGTCGTGTCGTGTCGATACCTCGCTGGCATCATCGTCGCTGCCTCGCTGGCATCGCCGCCACTGCATGCTGTCGGCCAACCGCTGCACGCTGCCGGCCTACCGCTGCACGCTGCCGGCCTGCCGCTGCACGTTGCCGGCCTGCCGACCGCCATCGCACGATGCACGGTTGTCGCGCTGCCTGCATTGTCCGTCGCGTGCGGAAACTAAAAAAAATCAAACAGAAGCGAGTCGGGTCGAGTTGACCCGAACCCGAAGCAAGTCGGGTTCGGGTCCGGAAAATCGACCCATTTGCAAAAATGGGTCGGGTTGGCCCGAACCCAAATAGTGTCGGGTCAGTTTCGGGTTCGACCCGAACTCGAGCCGTGACCCAAAATTGACACCCCTATGGAAGAGGGTTGAAGGCACCTTCCATGTACAAGTTGCAAACATGGATTTTGAAGGAGCTGCAGAACACAGAGCAGAGTATCGATGAGATTAAACGGACATGGAGTGAGACTGGTATTACAATTATGTTAGATGGATGGTCTGACATGAAGAGCAGGAGCATGATTAATATCCTAATAAACAATCCCTAAGGCACGTGTTTTTACAATCATTTGAAGCTTTAGATGAGGTTAAAAATGTTCATTTCATTTTCAATTTACTAGATGGGGTTGTTGAGAAGAATGGGGAGCAATTGGTTGTTCAAGTGGTGACTGACAATGCCAGTGCATATAAAACAACTGGTCAGATGTTGATGGAAAAGAGGAAACACCTCTATTGGACCCCCTGCGCAACACACTGTATCAATCTTATATTGGAGGAACTTTGTGATTTACCTCAACACAAGAGCGCACTTTCTAGGGCAAAGAAGTTCACAAAGTTCATCTACAACCACTCATGGGTATTAGCCTTAATGAGAAAGTTTTCAAAAAAGGAAATCATTCGCCCTGCTACCACTAGGTTCGTTATTAGACCTTTCATGCATCACATATTATATTTGTGCACTGCAAATCATTTTCAATTCTTAATACAAATTTATTCTACAGGTTTTCCACGTCTTATTTGGCACTGCAAAGCCTGTGGATGTGAGACAACCTCTTGAAGCAATGTTTATATCGACACAATGGCTTAATTCTACGTTGGGCAAGAAACTTGAGGGGAAGGAAATACAAAGATATTTCACAACTTTTTATGTGTTATTACATTATATATACATTACGTGGGTAATTAACAAGACAATAATCATTCTTATTGAACAAGGAAGAGAAAACTCAGTAACATTGAAGATGATAATGATATGACATTCATAGATATAATTGGAGAAGAAGATTCCCTTGAAGACCCATTTAGTGATGGGACATGATTGGATTTTATATGTTATTTCTTATTTGTACTTTGGGAGCTTTGATAGACTAATATTTTGTGGTTTTGTACTTTGAATTATACTATGCGATGCATATATTGCATCTATTTTATTATTTTCCACTAATTTCACTTGTAATTTAGATGTTTTTATTGTATGATAGACTCTTACTATTATTTACCTGTTAAAACTCTTAAATTCTCATCTACGCAATTCTTCATCTGTGAGACTTAAGCCTCACACCGCCTCGAGGCTTACACCTAGCCTCACGGACGAAAAACGCCTCGAGGCTTATTTACGCAATTTTAAGCCTTGTGTGCATAGAGCTTTAAAAACATTAAAGGAACATAAGAAATTAACAAACTAAATACTTTAAACAAATGATGAACTAATTAATATTAATAAACGCAAACAAATGAAATCATATGAATAGAATGATTAACAAAACACCCATTTATTCAATAGAAGTAAAAAATCTACCATAACAAGGTATATATTTTTTTTCTTTTTTTTTCATAACAAGGTACATAATGCTGAGCCAAAAAATTGATATAGAGTTCATGATGATGATGACCATAACAAAGAAAATTAATCAATTACTATCACTTTTAGTTTATATTTTACTAGCACCACATTATTTCAACAATTTAAAATTTATGAATGGTTTGACACATATTAAGTGGAAATTAAGAGAGATGCATGTAATTTTTTAGAATGAATTTTTTTCTTCTACCTTATACAACAACCAATTTATAGGGCATTCCCATCAAGCATAGTTTCAAATTACTTTATAGAAGATAGTTTACATTACATTTACTTTTTGTTGAACCAATAACCTGAAATGGAAATTCTACTCTCAACCATCCTTTGGTTTTATTTTTCAGTAGCATAGTTTTTCTTATGTAATGAAAAATAAGAATCCCATCAATTGCACTCATCATTATGAACAAATGATATGTAGCTCAACAGTCAATTTCATATAAGATGGGCAAAGAGAAAGAGACAGAAGTGCCATGGGCCCAAAAATTCTTTTGTAGTTCCTTTTAGCACTTTATAACTTTCTTTTTTCTTAAGTATGTTTATACCTTTTAATGTTGCATCCCATGATTCAACACAATCATACACCATCCATATTCTTTTGATATTATCATCAAATCAAATCCATCTATCATGTTTCTCTTTTATATCGATATGAAAGTTTGTTGTCACAAATGTGGTTTGAGTTATCATGGTTGTTGCACACCCAATTGACATCATACCAAAGGCTAGGATTGGTGTTAAAAAAATGTTCAAGACTTAAGGTTCTCTTTGGAAAAACTTTTTCAATGCTTTATTTTGTTTTCCAATAATAGTTTTAGAATCATCTTTACAAAAAATTACAGCTACACAAACAAAACCTGTATGAGCAAGCATCATGCAATCTTAAGGGAAGAGTATTTAACAACTCTTAATTAACAATTTACAAAATAAAATTTGATGGAACGTTCCCTAGGGTCAATGTTTTTATCCCTAGGGTCAATGTTTTTATTTAAATATTTTTCATTCCTAGATTCAGTTGGTCCTTCGGTCCATATCTTTTTTTGGCATAACAACACATTTTTGCAATAATAAAATGTCCTCAATACCTATCCCCATTCTTTAGGATGTATTCTTAACTCTGTTGCTAATACTACAGAAGAATGCATTCAATATGCATGTAGGTATTCCAATTCCCTCCCTAGGCCCGTTTATGCTTTAGGCCAAATATTTTCAAACAGTTTTTTCATCCATTTAAATCTGGGAGCCTTCTTAAATCCCATTTTCCTTCAATTTTAGGATAAAAACCAGCATTTTGTAAATCTAGAAGTTGGATTTAAGATATTTACACTATCCTCGTAGTGCCTATTCTTCTTCATTAAATCCTAAATCTTAAGAATACCTATAAAGGAGTTTACTAGAATTTAACCAAATTTAATTTGTATCATTTAACGACTCTGGCGTTTACTAAATAACCTACTTGTAGCAAAACAGCCCCGCATAGAAAGGGAGCAAATTATTTAAAAATCATTTCAGTATATATGTAAAACATTGTGTCATACATACGCTATAATTTGATTTTCTGAAAAAAGTAAGACAATCGGATGGACAGGGCACCCAAAAGCACCAAAAAGAACGAAAAAATTATGCTGCGAGGAAAAAAGAGTGTATTAACCCCAAAACCCTAGAATATCATGCGGAAAATTGAAGCGGTTAATCAAAATATATAAAAGAGGCAAAAAATTGCAAGAAGAAGAGAAACTAAAGCAAAACTGACAGCAAGTTCTTCTTCCTCGACCAAATCAAACTGCGCACTAATAGCTTGCTTGTCCAGCTCCGGAAAAAACTTGAAGAACCTCGGAATTAGCTGCGCCGCTAGTTGCTTGGCCTTTGTGCTGCCACTTTTTACAGCGTTTAAAATCCCCTCGTAGTCGCTGACATGCTACATCCAACATTCGAAACGCGGACGCCAAAACACCAGCAATCAGACAATAAACCCTAAGCCAAAAGCCCAGGAATTCAAACGGAAATTGATGAACAGAGAAGACAGAGGAGGAGGACACCTGTGCCTTGTCCTTTGCTTCATTGAGCCTCTCACCATACTCGTACAGCTTCTCCACCTCCTTGGCGTCGCCGATGACGGCGCCCATTTCTAAAGGAAGTAAAGGAGGAGGCCAAAGAGAAGTGGAACGAAAACGACAGTACAAAGAGCAGAAAGCGGAGAGGGGGGACCGGGAAGCGGGGAGAGGGGAGCGGCGACCCGAGATTGGAGTGCGGAGACCGGAGATTGGAGAGGGTTGTATAAGAACTAGAGAGGTAGAGGGAGGAAAACAGATGAGACGGTATCTACTTTTGTTTCGGAAAATTTAGCATTATATATATATATATATATATATATATATAATAAATTAGTTCAAATATTCAGAGTGATGATATCTACCACATATCAAAGGTTATATGGTAAAAGTTTACTAGAACAAGAGATATTATATTATAATCAATTTTAAGAAAGAGAAAATATACAAAACTTTATATATATATATATATATATATATATAATCTAAGGGATTTCAAGAGAAAGAAGCTCCAAGAAAGTAGAGAGAGAAAGTTCCGTTTGATTTCAAATTTTTCATCTCCGTTTTTCTTGGCGGGTAATCCGTCGATGACGGAGGAGGCGGTGGCTTTCGAAGCTGATCGTCGGATTCCCCCCGACGATCCACCTTCTGTTTATGTTTGTCCTCAAGGCTCGTTCAATTCTCTAAAAGCGAGACCTCTCAGAATCAACGAGCCTTCAATTGAAGTTCAGAAGAAATCTCCACCAGTACCTGGTAAAGGTAAAGGGAAAATGAATCCAGTTCAAGATTTTAAACTTCTTTCGGATAATGGCCCATCTCTGATTCGTCGTTTCAATGATACAGAAGCTTCGTCTTCAGACAAAATGAAGATTGTTAAACAAGTTTATGTTCAAAAATTGTCCTCAAATACAGCTCAACTATTTGATCAAATCCCAGAAGGTGCAGAGAAGATAGGAGGAGCTGAAGTGGTTTTGCAAAGTTATAAAGAAGACATCTCGGAAGGAAATGTCAGGGTTAATAAAGAAGGTGGTTTAGAGGAGATCTCCAAAGAAATTATTAAGAATGAAACAGTTCCAGTAAATTCTGAAACAGTTTTGTCAAACCTTAATTCAGTAGTTGATAATAACAAGTTTGGTATTCTCAGTTTTAGTTCAGCCAAAGGAGAGACTATCTGCACTGAAACAGAGGAAGAAGAACTGGAAGATGGTGAAATTCAAATCACTACACTGAAAGTAATGTGGTTGATAATGTATTGGTGTTGGCTGATTCTTCTAAAGTCAAAGGCAAGCTTATCAAAGAACTCAATTCTCTGGGTAAAGATAATATTTTATCTCAAAGAAGGAAAGGTGAACATGTTAAGAAGATTAGAAGTGGAAATAATTCCACTTTTAAGCTCAAATGACCTCCTTAGTTTTTTGGAACTGCAAGGGGGCCAGGAAGTTAGAAGCCTCCCACTACTTAAGGGATTTTGTTAAAGAATTTGATCCTTTCCTTGTGGGATTAGTTGAAACGAAAGTTGTGTCTTTTGATAGACAATATATCAATAAACTTATTGGAGATAGTTGGGACTTTTTCTTTGTTCCAGCAGAAGGCCTTTCTGGTGGAATATTGATCAGCTGGAGAAGTAAAATTTGTTATGTTACAGTGCTTCATGCTACTTCACAAACAGTGATTGGAATTTTCAAAATTCCAAACAAAGGAGAATGGTTGACAGCCACAGTATATAGAAGCAGAGATTTTTATAAGAGAAGGCAATTATGGGAAAGCATAGATGCTTATTCAAATACTCACCTTCCTTTTATCATTGAAGGAGATTTAAATTGCATCTTGTATCAAGAAGAGAAAAGGGGAGGTAAGATGTTTACTTTTACTCAAGGACCTCAAGACATGAACTTATTCATGAATAATTGTGATTTTCATGATGTTGGAATCATTGGTCCTAAATTTACTTGGTGTAATAATAAGAAGGGAGGAGCTCGCATTTTAGAGAGACTGGATCGTTGTCTCCTCAACTCGACTGCTATGAAAATTATTCAACCAGCTGTAGTTCGACATCTTGTTAGAATTGCATCAGATCACTGCCCTTTAGTGAATAACATTTTTACTTCAGGATTTCGAAAGCCTAAGAAACTGCAGTTTGATGAAATTTGGACTTCATTTCCAGCGTCCAAATCTATAGTTACAAAGTCCTGGAACAAAACTGTCAGAGGTGATGAAGTTCAATCATTGAATAATAAATTTAGAAGACTTCTAAAAGCTCTATATCACTGGAGTAGAGCCAAGCATTCTAACCTCAACTCCCTTAAAGTTGAACTGAAGAAAGAAATCAGTGAGCTGCAAGAGGAAGAAGCAAATTCAGGATGCTTATCTGATGAGAAGATCTGTTTGCTGACATACAAGGTAAAGGAGTTAAACTCTACCTTGGGAAGGCTTAGTTCTTGGTGGAGACAAAGAGCTAAGGTCAAGTGGATCAAAGAAAGTGATTCAAATTCAGAGTATTTTCATTTTATTGCCATGAATAAAGAGCTAGACGGAACATGAACTTCATTAAGCAAATTAAAGATTCTAATGGTAGAATGCTGAAGGAGCAAAAAAGTATTGAAGAAACTTTATTTGAGTATTTTAATGATAAATGGAGAGCTAGAAGATGTAAATTAACTGGATGGCCGAAACCAAGTAGAGTGCTGGACGAGGCTGATAAAGAAATGCTCATGGTTGAATTTTCTGAAACAGAACTGGAAGTTGTTGTTCAACATCTGGAAGGTAATATTTCTCCTCGTCTAGATGGCATAACATACTCTTTTATTAAATTCTATTGGAATATCATTAAAAATGATATTTGGAAGGCGGTGAATCATTTTTTTCAAACTGGATTGATGTGTGAACATTGGAAGGTGAAAGTTCGTTAAGGGATGTTAAGCCCTATGAACTTAGTCCCAAGCTAACCAAGAGGGGGGGTGAATTTGTATTTTAAAAACTCTTTTCACAAAGAAAGAAAATTGCATAAACCAAATCACACCACAGAAATAAATGCGGAATTTAAAAGCGCGGAAGCAAGAAAAAGAACACATAAATTTATAATGGTTCGGTCGACTCGACCTACGTCCACTCCTTGGAGGCACCCTCCATGTATTGTGCTATAAAATGTGACTCTCCTTTAGCCCCCACGGCTAGGTGGAGAAGCCCTCACAAGACCTCCTTTTTGCCACCCCGGCAAGGCAGAGAACCTACCTCCTTTTGCATCCTCCTGAAGCTGGCAGAGAATCAAAACCAAAAGCACTCCTTACCTCTACCGACCCTTCCACGGACGAGAAACTCTAAACGAAGATGAAGCTGAGTGATCCTTGAAGCAACCCTTGTGAATCCCCTCACAAGCTCCCCCTCACAAGATCCTCTCTCTCTCTCCTCTCTTTCTTTCTCTCCTCAAGGTCTTCTCAGGTCAAGGCAGCATCCAAAGGTCTTCTAAAATATTTAACAAGAGCTTTTAAATAGAAGAGCTTCAAATGAGCTCATTAATTGCAAGTTGCTGACAATATCGTCCAGGCCGATATGGACATCAGCCTGGCCGATCAGTACAAATCAAAGAAGATCGACCAGAGCATCGCCCTGGATGCAAGACTGGACGATTAAAAATTGGCTTGATCGTCCAGGCTGATCTCACGATCGTCCTGGCTGATCAGTTCAAATCAGAGGAAAATTATCCTGACAATAGCCCTGGATACGAGCTGGCCGAAATTTATCATCCTGAAGTAACTTAAGGTTTTTGACTGGATCGTCCTGGCCGATCCTGCAATCATCCAGGACGATATGATCGTATCAATCATCCTTAATTACTCCCTTGATTTCCTGATCAATTAAGGCATAATTTAGTAATTTCGTCCAGGCCGATACGTGGATCGTCCTGGACGATAATTTAAAATTACAGTATACCTTAATTGACTATGGCAGCTACTTCTTTATGTTTTGAGCTTATCGTCCTGGCCGATACATGTATCGTCCAGGCCGATATGTTAATGATGGCTGCCTTAATTAAGAATCCTTACTTAGACTTTCTGTTTTAAGCTGATCGGCCGGGCCGATGTGGGCAAAAATAATAATTCTAAGCCCCTCAAGTGTGTGTGTGTAGGGTTACTTAGCATCACTCTCTTTGACCATTATAAGTAGACTCAAAAGGTGAAAATCAAAAGTACAGACTGACTCAACCCTAAACCTACGCAATCCTGAACTTGGCTCCTTCTTGATCGTCCGATCTCCGATTCCTGAAAAGTTAGAAGCAACAAGTAGTCCAAGAGACATAGTGTTTGTCAATCATCAAAACATAAGCCATGAAAAATAGATTTGCAACAGAAGGAAACTTCAGTTGTTCTTATTCCAAAGCTTAAGAACCCGACAATTCCCTCTAATTATATACCCATAAGTCTATGTAATTCCATCTACAAAATTGATGCAAGAATATTGTTGAACAGGTTAGTCCGCTGCATTCCCAAAATTATATCAGAAAACCAAGTTGCTTTTATTAAGGGTTGATCCATTTCGGATAATATCCTGCCCACTCAAGAGATCATAAGCAAATTTAGATTTTCTAAATCAAGAAAAGGCATGATGGCTATCAAAGTAGATATGGAACAAGCCTACGATAGTATGGGATGGCAAACCTTGACTCGGTTATTAGACATATTTGGTTTCCCGGATGAATTCTCAAAACTACTCCTTCAATGTGTAGTTGATACTAAATACTCCATTCTCATTAATGGCTTGAATATCGAATGGATTTGGGCAAAATGTGGCTTTAGACAAGGATGTCCTTTGTCTCCCTTTTTATTTATCTTGTACTCTCAATTGTTAACAAAAGAATTCAATCAAAGAGGAGCAAAAATTGGAGTTAAGGTGGCTTCAAATGCAAAAAAAGTGTCCCATTTACAATATACTGATGACATCATTGTATTTTCTATAGCTACTAGTAGAAATGCTAAGAAAATCAAGAAGATAATGAAGAACTACTGCAGCTGGACAATACAAAGAATCAATGTGTTGAAAAAAATACATAAAACATTAAATTCGAACAGCCATAAAGCTATCACTTCAATCCATCTTTGAAGATTGCCAACAAATACCCTTCATGAATAAGAAATTACATAGCCGATGTAATTCAACAACCATTTGCATACACCAAACTTTTTTATCTTCAGTTGAATATGAATAAGAACAATCTGCAACTATGAAGCCTTCATCACAAATGTCATGATAACAATACCAAGAAGCCTCAATAATGGCTTCACTACCAA